GACACTGCTGAATTCAACAGATGTACCCCTTGTCACTTGTGCTCAGCATTAAACTTACTATGCATATGGTCAGGTCCGCGTGTAACTGTGGTTAGAGGTGCCCCAAAGTGCACAGCTAATTCGTCCTTCGACATCGACCTCGCAGCTGTTCGATTCCATTGCCCACAGTTGATCCTTCCTCCAATGCGGGTCTTCGCGACCTCATCGGGTCAAATCCAGTGGATCACTGCTCTAATGAAGTAGTCTAAGTAGGAAGCAAATAAAATTTAACATTGTAATTTCAACTACAGCCTCAGCTTAACTGAGTCCAATGCCGATTTTGGCTCCCTAGATCAATCTCGTTGAATGGTGAATGCTGATGGCACTGGTCGATAGAAATAGCTCAGAGACAGGCGAAACGAAGGACCTGTATGGTGTGATGGTGAACACGTTAGTCCTCGGAAAGAGTAGCAGCACGTTCGTTCCCTACCGCAGACACCCGAGGTCCGGAGTTTTGCAAATGCCTCAGCATCGTTATGGTTGTATTTCGCATCATATCCTGTCGTGAATAATTGTAGTAGGCAGCAAAAGAAAACTAAAAACATTGTGGGCAATATACTTGGAACAATCTGGGTCTAACGAAGAGGAACGCGTCGAAGCATTAGTCGAATAACGCTTTTTTTTATCAACCTCGACCTTGCTTATCGACCAGAAAATGGGATAAATAGTTGTGTCAGGATTAAAGGAAAGACATTCTTCGAAATAATCGTTTCATCATTTCAATCGCTATTGGTACTGTCTCAAATGTTTGTACATGAAAAACACCGAAGTGAACTCTACAAAGGGTGCAAAACACTTCCAAGTGTTGATAGCAATGTATTTGTTCGATTTGACAGAGTAAAAAATAAAAAAGGATAAAGCTCCCGGCATTGCTCAATACCTCAGGGATGATGCGCCACGCACTCGACTTCATTGAGCACCGTTGTTTGGTGGTGACTGAATGCATATCTGGCCTTTACAATGACTCGCCGTGACCTACGGGTGTATCGACCAAGTGCTGCTATTCTCCCGGACAATTCTAACACCAATTTACTTGCCTCGGAGGGATGGAAGGCCTGTGGGCCATGGGCGCGGGGATCGATTCCACGTGTGTGTTGTAGGGCGCCTCCGACCACTGCGCAACACGCGCCCATTGGACTACTCTGGCTAGGTCCGGTACACTTGACCAGAGTAGTGCTTAATAAATAATAGTATATGTATATATATATATCAGCCATACTCGTTGAATGATAGAGCAAAGTGTCTTCTGCAACTTTATTATGCACACAACTCCCTAAAGTCCTCTGATTACTGGAATAGCTCCATTGCACTTTAAGAATACAACGAATTCTTCAAGGATACTCCCATGCCAAGATTCTTAAAACTAAGCGGGAAATCCTCAACAAAGTGATCGATCTGTCTACAGTTTTCATCATAGAAACTCGCCGCCGCAAATCATGAAGCCAGGAAAGAACAGCAGGAGTCTTTTTTCATACCAACTAACGTAGTGTGATGATTAGAACATCAGCCACGACAATTAATTCTTTATCTAAGGAGCGCATTTAAAGCACTGGGAAAGGTTGGGAATGGATGAAGCTTTTTCTGACAACGTTTTGATTTCACACGTTCAACAGTTTACGATAACGAGTGCAACACCTCATCGGCAACATAATAATCACATTAATCCCAGCTTTAACGCTCGTCGACTTCACAAATTTTAAATTGTAGTTGAAATAACAATACCTTAAGTTTTATTTACCGCTCAATCTTTCTTTCTCATAGCAGGGTACGATGTGCGCTATCACTACAAGGATAGTGAGTTATGCGCAAAATTCGGAGCCATAGTTGCGCTTCGAACCCGTGATTACCCCTATCAGGGCCACACGCATTATCCACCACACCAGCCGAGGCTCTTGTCTTTTCATTCACTCCACAAGTTTTTACCCTGATTATTGTATAGGCTCCATTCAATCACTTTTAATGGAGCCTGATGAAGTCGAAACTTCCATTATTATTACTGCTATTGAGATCTCCTTCTGATATTATAAATAGCAAAGGATAAAGCTCTTGACGCTGATCAATCCCTGAGGGATGTGCCAGGCATTTGGCTTCATCGAACATCGTGAAAAGTAACTGAACTCATACCTGGTCTGTACAAGAACTTGCTGAGCATAAAAAGATGTTTTAGTTTTACCTAATGATCGGAATAGCTACGACATCCATTCTACTTTTTTGTCGAACACTTTCGCATTTTTGTGCTGTTAGTCACTTTTCACCTGAAAACGGGGTTATGCCAGGTGCCCAATTAAAATCACTGTAACATAACTACACTTACTCCTCAATTAAATCACTTGTTAACGCTCATATGGATACTTTTTGAAAGGAAAAGGTGCCAACATCAGGTACTAATGGAGTCGAGAATAAAACTGGAAGAATTCGAACATCTCTGGAATTCAAACGAATTACGAGCTACCACCTGAACAACGATGTGATAGCATTGTGAACGTGGCTCATGAATGAGCCAGCTTTACCTTTCAGTGATGTAACTGACGTGATTGCAACTTTTGTGGCTTTTTCTGGCCCATGAGGTTAATGCGAGCCTCAGAAATGATTTCATTCTATGTAGCTGTCTTTCTGAAAAGTGATGTTGTGAAAACAAAGCTCAAATCGTGTTAGCTTTAGGTTATAGCGCTCAATATGTTTTTTTTGGGAATATATTATTCCACTGGCCCATGAGCGTGCACAGAAGGACGACGAACTTTTTCAACCGAGTACCGAACTTGTCACCAATTGATGGCCGTATTCCATTCAATTAGTGGGGATCAGTGAACGACCGTCCTATTGATCAGGAGAGGATGTTCGACCGTTCATTCGCCACTCCAGAGCAACTACAGTAGCCTAGTTTGAGCACAGCCTACGATTTATCTAACCAAGGAGGTGAGTATGACTGTTAGCTGACGTAGAAACACGGAATATCTTTTCGTATTCGACGAATTCGCTGAATTCTTCTAAAGCCCTTGTTCGTCCATCGCAGTGAGTGGCTCCAAAATTTTATCACAATCGATAGATCACGTTGAAACACTCTCCTGATAAAACGATATACGGTACTAGGTATAACTGAACAACACTTTGCTAGAACTCGCGAAGTACTAAAAATGGTTTTTTAAAAGTCTAGAAAAGCGTTAAAAACAGAAAATCGCAAGTCGAAATCGTATAACAATTGGGCGCAGTGCTAACCGTGCTTATTTTTGCAATTGTTTACATTTTGTGTCGTTTCCTTGTTCAGCAATCACGAGGTTTTTAAACAGCATACATTTACTTCCATAGAAAAACACAATACAATACAACGCTAGCTGACGTTTCGGCAGTATCGCCTTCTTTCAGAGCTGGAAGGGTGTACTGATATACAATTTACTAGGCCAAACGCTTCAATAACACTTACACAAAGACGAAAGACTCTTTGGTAACTACACGATCAACAACTTCTCGAAAAACCCACCGCTTTTTTTTTCGTGACTTCCAATGAGGAAGTTTAGAACAGCTGATTATAGTCGCATGTGGTTGACGACTGCACCATCCCACATCAAAAATCGATGCGAACGTACGGGATCAGGTCGCGTATGATCTCCAGGCATTCGTCCCTGCTATTCATTGTAGGGTTTTTGGCATTTATCCAAAAAGCCTCAAGTAGTTTTCGCGCTGGTGTTTTGGACTCCTGTGCAAGGATATTGACTTTTACTTCAAAATCGTCTCCGCTATGCTTTTGTATCCTATGCGTGCCTAGTGGGGTGCTTCGTTTTAGTTTTCGTTTGCCATCTAGGTGTTCTTTTATACGGATACACAAAGGTCTGCCCGTTTCGCCAATATATTCATCTCCGCAATTGTTACACGAGATCAGGTATATCGTACCTGAATCCATGCAATCACCGTCCCTGCCGTAAGGGCAAATTACGCAATTTGTTGTTTCACACAGACGGTCATACAGGCGGTTACGAACTAATTGACGACGTAGAGTAGCGGGTGGTATTTCAACTATCGCTACCGATTCCTCTAGACCTGCCATTCTTAAGCATCGTTTTATAGCTACGCTTACTTCATCGCTTATAAAAGGCAACATAAACGGGATTTTCTTTTGGCCAAGTGTTTCGCGTGGGCGCGTCGTTCTCCTTGTAAACTTATCTCGTGGGGTTACTATTTCGTAGCCATAGGAGATGGCTATTTGCCGAGCCAAGTCGCGCGACTCTTCCTTTAGCTCCATGGTAGTGCACACAGAGATGGCTGTTCGAAACATGTTACTGCCGAAACGACAGCTAGCGTTGTATTGTATTGTGTTTTTCTATGGAAGTAAATGTATGCTGTTTAAAAACCTCGCGATTGCTGAACAAGAAAACGGCACATTCATATTCCAATGCCGATGTTAATAGAAAGTCGATCATGGGAACTACTACATGATGCTGAGATATTTGCAAAACTCTGGGTCGCAGGTGTCTATGGTGGGGAACGAACGCGCTATTATCCTTTCCGGGGAGTAACGCGTTCACCACCACACCATGCGGGTCCTTCGTTTCGCCTGTCTCTCAGCTATTTCTATCGATCTTTTTGCCACCGCAATCACCCGTCAGCGGGGTTGATCTAGGGAGCGCAAATCGGCATAGAATTATAGAAGGCAATCATATTATTATAGAAGGCAGAAAACAAAACGTTAAACATTGTGATTTCAACTACAGCCATAGCTTAACTGGGTTCTATGCCGATTTGCGCTCCCCAGATCAACCCCGCTGACGGGTGATTGCTGATGGCAAAAAGATCGATAGAACTAGCTGAGATACATGCAAAGCGAAGGACACGGATGGTGTGGTGGTGAACGCGTTACTCCCCGGAAAGGAAAATAGCGCGTTCATTCCCCACCATAGACACCTGCGGTCCAGAGTTTTGCAAATATCTCAGCAACGTTGTGGTTGTATTTCGCTTAGTAACCTGCCATGAAAATTATAGAAGGCAGAAAACAAAACGTTAAACATATTACAAGATGGTTACATTTTTCAGAGTTTCAGATTTCTCTGTGGAAATGCATACGTTCACAATTCTCTGTGATTCCATACTCCAAAATTGGTTGAAAATCCTCTCCACTATGAGAAACGGCTCTAGAACAACTCCCGACATTTGTAGAGGCAGAGAATTTAGGTGTTTCCAGAGCGATATGATTCCTCTTCTTCTTCTACTAATGACCGGAGCAGTGGATGTGCTAGCAGAAGTCGCATGTTATCACTGCTATGGGAACTCTTTTGAACAGGGACAATTCTGCTCAATCGATCATTTGTGCCTAGGACAGTCATGCGTTTTCTGTGAGTTTTAAGAGCTTCAATTATAACATTTTACTATAGTAAACTATCAACCGTGGTGTTAACTCAGACTTATCATCGCAACAAGGGAGAGGTTGAAAATTGTTCCTATTACTTAAACCAGTGATGTTATCACCTGATATGTCGCTGATCGTCGAACAAGTCGAACAGGCACTGGCATGCTTTCTATTCCTCGTTGTTGCGCGCCGGAGCTTCTTAGTAGTTTAACTGTCCCGAGAAAAACCAAGAGTGCAGTTTTTGTTACCCACTATTTTTACTGCTTTCATCTATTATTAAGGTGGCCTAAAATTGCTCACCGGGTACTGCCGTAGCATAGGCTTACTCGAATCGGATTTCCGGATGGAAATGTTCAACAAATTCTCAACTTGTACAGCTCTAAAGAAAATGAACTTCCTACATAGCGTTCAATACCCATGAGCAAACATTTTGAATGACGCTGCTTACGGCTATCTATCAGCGTCGTTATTATGTTTTTAAATTTCTTGTCAAAGATTAAGCACCAGTTTATTCCCACGCCATTTTTGCTGTGAAATGAGTTTGCCATAAATATTTACTTTAAATCTTTCCAATCTCTTTGAGGTGTCATAGTAAACGCAATGAGAAAAAATCTTATTTTTCATCACATAACCTTTTTCTTCATCATTAGTCTTCCGACTGATTTTGTCCTGTGATAAGGTACTCCTTTCAATGAGTAAAACCAGTTTCAAGGTGGTGGAATTGGGTTTCACGCTCCACCAATCAGAAAGCACTGAACTGCGTTTTCACCTTTGTAATCCACGACTCATAGTCAACGGTACTTCATCACTGAAATCAAGCGCTGTTATAAATGATCAATCCTGACGATGATTCCACGATTCAAGCTTACAATAAAGTCCTTGTGAAACGAAATGAAATCCGCCACTAATCGACAAAGATCTCTCAGGGCGGAAGCCTCTTCCTCTTCATCACCTCGGAATTCCGGTGTTCTGAAGCGACGATCTTGCTGGACTACATTTCACAAGTGTGCCCTTGCAGTTAACAGTTTTTAGCGCAAGTGCTTGGCGATAACATGAAAAACTACAACTTGTTAAATATTTTGTTTAGCGTAGCTAAAGACGAGAAATTTTGATTGAAATTTTTTCATGGTTTCCTGAGAAGCCGTGGTTAAACGATAAACGTTGAGGCATTTTCGTGGAACAGAACTGGCTACTTTCGACTGATCAATGCCGACTGCAGAAGTTATGGTTTTTGTTGTAGTTTTCATTTCGGCTTATGGATATTAGTTTTATTCTGGAATCCTTTGCTGGGAATTCAAACGCTTTCAATAGGTATTGTCATTGGCCTAGCAGGAAGAAGCAGTCATACTGTTTTTCTGACAGTGTCGTGAAGTGACAAAGCGCTCTGAATTTGAACACACACGACGTAAAACATTGGAATCCACTTTTTGTCCCATATCGCAGTTATGTCAGAGACGGGTTATTTTCATGTTTCGCTTAATACCACTTCTTTTTCAAAATCCTTTGCTCTATCTTAATTAAATTCCTCAGATGCATATCGTCGATCATAGCAACTCATTTTTGTTTCCCTTCATCATCTAAGGTCCTATCTGTTTCTAGAAACCTTCAGAATCGAGTTCCTACAGTAAGATGGTTAAGGCTATCTTTCTAAGTGCAATACTGACATTGCTAGCCAACTGATCGTCTTCACATCGACGTTTAAATTCCTGAATTGGATTGCCCAGATTTGCTTCTTTTCGGAGTGAACCACACATTAAACCTAATGACGAAAACACTACCATGAAAAAAATGTAAAGCGACGTCCCCCATGTAATGTCGTACATAGCACTTATTTTTATCGATTTATGTCATCCGACTTTAAACATGTATATCCTACAAGTTTTTCATTTTCGGTTAGTTGTCTCGCATCCGTCATCGGAGAGGGCCTCAAAATTTACGTGTCGGGTTCAGCTACTAGTTCAAGATTCAATCGAGTTCGTGAATATGGTTGAATCGTTGCGAATGCAGAAATAGGTCTACAAGGGTGTAGTCAGCTCACCGACAATGGTAGTTATTTGTTTTTCTGAACTAAGTGCGGTTTTTCCCAGACTACGAAAAGATGAACATCATGGTTGGTTAGGCACACGGGAAGTAGTGGATGTAGGCGCCGAAAGAAAGAACGTGGGGTCTTGAACAGCCTTCTCTTCTACTTTTCTGGAAAGCATAAGTGCTTCTTTTGAAGGTGAAACAGCGGTTGTTTAAGTGCTATTAAATGATATGGGTTTTGTGGGTCTTTTCCAGCTCTATAACTTTAGCCAGTATGCTAATCCTCTTCCATGTGCTTTTATCTCGTTTCTGGAGCTTTGAAAATTGAAGTGGATTACCAGCTGTCCGCTAACAGCATAGCTTGACACTTTCTGCTCAAGAGCTTTAGTTTAGATAGCATTCAAATTTATAGCCTTCAAGAGTTTGCTGTCGTATTGTCCATGTGCTTGTCGTATTCTTTATTGTTGCCATCTGCGAAAAGTACTATCATATAAAAATGGACTTGTTACTTATACTTCATCTACTTTCAAAGGAATGAATATCTTTAAATGCTGCATTTATGTTCATTTAAGTCGAGAAGTCGACATGATAAATAACATAGCTGAACGATTGTGCAGGTGTAAACAAGCGGTCTGGAGAGCTTTCAAGAGGTTCGAGAAACTAGTGAAAAGAACAGAAGATTCCAGAATCAGCGCCCACCCCCACTCCACGATGCTTCATGCGTTAGCGTATACGTTAGAAACCTCGTCGCTGCGTAAGCAGGATGAGAGATCACTCAGAGTTATAGAACGCTCAATCGAAAGGCGGTGCTGAGAGTATTTCGTACCACGCAAGTGTGGGAAGGAGTCCGAAGCTCCGACCTAGGTCAGCGATCAAATGTGGGACACCGTTATAGAGGCCAAGATTTCGAGAATTAGCTGGGCTGGATACGTAATACGTAACGGCAGCCGATGACCAAGAGCTGTTAGTAACTGGTTTTCTCGGAGTGTAACAGGCAGAGCAGGTAAACCACCGAGTCGATGGTCAGAGTTAAAAATTTACTGACATCCGGTTGAGTCGCTTGACGATCAAAGGGTGTGCGGCTAACACAGCTGATGTGTGCATCGTATTCCTCATAGATACCGTAAACGAATGAAGGTCTTGAAAAGGAATCATCTCGAAAAGTGATTTTAGAAACTTTCCCTATGATACTTCGGAAAATTTGTTACTTTTATCTCTCTCCTTTTCTCAGAACAAGGGTTTGGTTCGAAGAAACATCTGATTGGGTGCAACTTTGTTGAGAAAAGAGATATCAGTAAATTTAATCCACATTAGGGAATTCTGTCACGTTTACAGTTACCAATAGGTTTTGTTGCTTTTTTCCATAATAATGATTTTAAATAAAAAAAATAGCTAAAGTTTGTATACCGAAGGTGGCATATCTATTTTTGGCATTTGAAAACATATCTGCTGGTCTTAACCCTTTTATTTACTGCCTTTTTCTTTTTAATGGCATAGTATGTTGCGAAATATAACTCGTACATAATGCTGAGATATTTGCAAAACTCCAGACCGCAGGTGTATGCGGTGGGGAACGAACGCGCGCTATCGTCCTTTCCGGGGAGTGGCGCACTTCACCACCACAGCATCCGGGTCTTTAGTTTTGCCTGTCTCTCAGCTAGTTCTATTGATCTTTTGGGCTCCCCAGATCAATCCCGTTGACGGGTGATTGCTGATGGCAAAAGATCAATAGAACTAGCTGAGAGATAAGCAAAACAAAGGACCCGGATGGTGTGGTGGTGAAGTGCGCTACTCCTCTGAATGGACAATAGCGCGCGTTCGTTCCCGACCGCAAACACCTGCGGTTTGGAGTTTTGCAAATATCTCAGCATTATATACGAGTTATATCTGCTAGTGTTCTTTTTTCATAAACTAACAAGAATTCTCGCATCCCAAAGATGTTGGTATTTTGGCACCTTGAATCGAGCCCTTGACTACGTCCTTCTTAGTGAAGCATGATTACACTGCGCTGCTCAGGTCACTTCTGTCATGTTGAAAACTTGCCACGAACACGACACTGCTCATGTAAGGTTTCAGCCGTGCAATCGAGCGGGGAATGGGCATCTGGCTGCACCAGTGAAGTGACTTCTACAATTTTCGACTGCACCACGAGGGATTCCGGTTCGGAATTGAACTGCAAATGCATGTCCGATCTCTGCAATAATTTCAAAGTCGCTAACGAGACCGTCGGCAGATTCTTGGGGCAGGAAGGTCCATTGTGAGTTTTCATAAAAATCACTAGCGATGATAAGTTTACGAGCACAAGGAGAAAATTCATGAAAGAAAAAGATGAATTCGCTTCTTTTATTAAACCATGAATTTTGTTCTTGTTATAAATTAGCTCCGCTCCAGTTATTTTAGAAGCATCACGATAAAACCACTAACATATGACGCTCTTCGTTCTACTTTTTGTATGAAGTTTTAGTGCTTTTCTATATGCTTTATATTCTTGTTTAGCAAGCAATAGGTGTTGTTATTCCCTTATTTGCGCACAAGCTAACGTTTCGGCGGATTTCGCCTTCCTCAGAGCCTGGAAAGCACAAGTTGACTACAATCTACCCGGCCAAACACCTCCTTAACCAAATTGAGAAAGTGCTAAACCAAGCTTTCAGTCACACTGAACACACAATAGCTTCTTTACACACTCACCACTTTGTATGAGCCTTCTACTGACTATATCATGTGGAGACCAACCGCACAGAGATAACATGGAAGCGTAATGTGCCCCTCCCTTCAGAATAACAAGCCTAAATACTGCCCAATATTACCCGTAATAATGAGGCATTCCTCCTTGTTGTTAATTTTCGGATCTTTAGAATTAATCCAGAATCTCTCGAGAGTTTTGTGCGCTTGTGCTTTCGATTCTTCTGCGGGGATCGTAACCCCTCCCACTTTTCTCTACCTCAGAAAGCATAACATTCCGCAATTTCTTCAACAGTGAGAATTTCTTAGATGATAAACGATTTTTCGATTTTTCAGTGAAAAATTAAAGCGATTCCGCTATGTCCGTATAAAGTTTTGTTTCTAAACATCGGCGACGTTTGTAATTAACAACTAAAGTGCCTTTTGCTTTTTTGTTTGTTGTAAATGTGTATATATTGGCTGAAAATGGCCGTTGGTGTTCAGTAGGACAACCGTTCCGAGAACATGTACTGATCGAATGCCGTCTGTATTCAGCAAGGATACCACGCTGATCTTACCGAGATTGCTAGTGAAGTGCATTGAGTGCGGCAACGTGAGCATCGGCGGCCATGCCTTCTCCATCCCGTGTACTGAAGAGCAAATCTGCCAAGGCGACTTCTGCGTAACTAGTTAATAGACTTTCAATTTTTCGATACCTACTAGTTTCTTAAGCGTTGTATTTGTTTCTTTTTCATTCAATGATTACAAAAATTGTGCACAAATGTCAAAAATTCAAGTTAATACAATCTATAAATCTTCTATAGATCACCTTTTTGGTTCTATCCCGTTTCTCTCATCTTCGAGCTTTTCTATTAGCATTGGGCTCAAAGTTCATCCACGATTCCATTAGACATGAGCTCATTCCAGAGAGGGGTTTGAATCCGTATTCGTACTGTGACACTACGTGGACAGGAACGAACGAGGTTGGTGATCTTCTTTATGAAACTTCTAGACGTGAACACACCCACTTACGACATAGCAAAATTTTTTTCTGTATTCCTAAAGACTTCCTCGCAATCGGTCACATATTTGTTAACGCAGAGCTTTCGCCAAACAGTAGTTGTGAGTTCGCGGTGTTTTGCAATTTTTGCACTTCTGGCTTCCCCATCCCAAATCCGTCTCGTGCAAACATCGTCTAATGGATACTTCAGTCCAAAAATGGATTTTTATCAATTTTTGACTAGGCAAAAGCTGACTTCCACTGTTTTATTGGACTCGATACATACCACTGTGAAGCAAGACTGCTGCAAGAAAATCCGGAAAGACCAGATCCAAAGAAGATATGGTGTCAACAATAACTTGCTGGGATGTGCGGGAAAACGAGGATTTCCATGATACTAAAGGCACTAAAGGCGCTTTGCCTCCCTATTTAAAATATTACGCTTAATGAAAAAAACGATAAAACACTTTGTGCGGGCTGCTGAAAATCTCGACTCTGCCTTTGTAGAGTAGGAGAAATTGTATTCAGTTGCTAAAGACTACAAGATCCTACCGATTCTACTGTTTCTTTTCTCATTTACCAAATTTTATTGTGGTAAGATATATGCTGTTTCGAGCTTGAAAAGGACCACTAATTTTGCATTGCATGAATTGAAATCAACGAGTGTCGTCCGAATGTGCTAGTCACCACGTGTCACCAACTTATACTTAAGTCTTAGTACGATGCCAAAACTGTTTCCGATAGTCGACCCGAAAACTAGGTGAAGAGCAGGTCTAGCTGGTCGTAACTGAACGACTGAAATTGTTTCTGAATATGTTTAGGCTCGCTGCTTTAAAAATCCCGGCGAAGAGGAACAGTGTGTTTGCGCTCAGGACATGTGCAACCTTTCGCTATATCCAATGGTTTCATGTAAGTCCATGTGCGGTTTTCATCTGTTACATGTTACTACACGAAAGAGAACTTAAAATTATGCGTTAAAAGATTTCTAGAATATACGGTTAGTATTGATCAAAAAGAAGGAAGAGAGATGGTGGCAAGATGTGCATGCCATAAATTGCGCGCGTTCCCTTCTCTGGGAACGTGCAAGCATGGCTATCTCATAGTCCTAGTGACAATTTACTCGACCAGCATTTAACTGTGTTCATGAAACGGACCACGAATTCTCAAACAGTAGCCGAAAGCGCGTGAAGACTTTTCTGGATAATGGATGCACGAAGGCGGATAAAATTAATCAAGGACTAGGATCCGCACTAAGCATGACGGTTCATGTAATTAAATGAATAAAGAAACATACATATTTTGCTACAACCCCACTTACTCTCCATTTAGCCCTGGTTCAAATGAGTACCTACTAATTTCAGCCGAATTGCCGAGCCTTCGGGATAACAATACCTCCAGTAAGTACTATCTAAACAACTGCACATTTATTTCTTTCTGTCAGCAATTTTGCACATAATTGAGATCACACGAGGTTGGCATAAACTTTTTTTCCGTTAATGTTTCGGCACCTTTGCCTTCCTCATACCTGCGTTGAGTGGAGTCGATGGTACAGAGCTGCTGACGAGCCCGTCTCTGAGAAAGGCGAAGGCGCTGCAACGTCAGCAGAAATCAAAACTTTGTACCAACCTCATGTCCTCTGTCGTAAAGAAGATATCGGTTATTGCTACTGACGTTTAATTAAAGTGGGTTTTAAGATATTCTGCTTGTTTTCTTTATATGTTTATAATTTAGTGCACATGGTTATTTGCGTGATTTGCAGCTGGTACAGTATCAAAGGAAGAAAAATGCAAGAAAGGTATGGTGTTCTCGCCAAACACACACGCCACGTCGATGGCTGAGAGGTTGGGTGAAATAATCCGAAACGGATTCTCCGCAACGAGCAAACCAAATGAGGTACGGTAACTTCGTTCCCCCTTGCCTTTCATTTGATCTGCCTATGGAACCCGCCTTTCATATTGTCCACGCTTTTTGGTCTACATATAAGTAAGCGTACGAGTCGCAGCCGTCGTGGAAGATTCTAAATCACAAATTAGCGAACGTCCCATGACCTAGGAGGATTGCTCTAGCTTATGAGGATCTAAGTGGTTGAACTTGCCCAATCCATTTGTTGTTATTAAAAATCCTGCGTACTAACGCAAATTTGAAGAAGCAGAGCAGTAAACACTTTACACGACTCGTCTTCACATTAACACCGCGGATCCCAGCACTTGCATTCGGTTTGTTTCCTTACATCCATTATCCACCATAGTCTTGGTCTTTGTTTGAGATTGTCGTCTTACCTATGGATGTCATTGAATGCTAGTGTAATTGATTCTTTTTGGAATTCTGGAATATCTGCGTTAGAGCATTCCTACTTGGATTGCAGCGAGTGAACTATTTCCAGACTAGTCTTGTGCCGATTTCCCGACCCTAGAGGGATGAGAGGCTTGCTGGGATGGGGCGCGATCTGATCAAGAGATGGTAATTGTGATGCGCCTGGAAAAACTATATAAGAAATTTTAAGGCCAATTCAGGGGATCAAAAAAGCAATGGAATGCAGTTAGCCGCTCGATTGCGTACGTAAATGATCTTTTTATATAAAAACATCGTGTGGGGCAGTGGTCGGAGGGGCCCTGCAGCACACACATGGAATCGATTCCAGTGCTCATAGCCCACCAAGCGTTCCAACCCTCCGGGGTCGGAAAATTCGTACCAGACTTGTCTGGGAGGATAACAACACTGGCTGGATACATCGGCAGGCCACCGCGAGTCATTGTAATGGCCAGATATGCATTCAGTCACCTCCAAACTATGCTTTATGAAATCGAATGCATTGCGTATCCTTCAGGAATTGATCAACGTCGAGCATTTTATCCTTTTTTTTATCCAATCATTTTTTTCAACTTTTACCTATTCTCCGGCTTGCCATCAAACGATTCGAACGTTCGCCAGGGAGAGTTCCGTTCTTCACTCTGTCTTTTCAAGATGTATTGGCATCTCTTTTGTTCGAAAGACGAACAATATCCACTTTTCAGCCACGAATTCATTGAAGAAGTCTGAACATGGGTAGTCCGACCTTATTACTATGCGCCTGACATTCCGTACAATCCAATCACTGGTTTTTGTCTAGTGGTTGTATCTCGTGTTTGACCCACATTGCTTTCTTAATGAATGCTGCAGCGTCTCTTGTCTACGACCTCCGACATGGATTTAAATTCCGGATTCTTTCTCTTTCTTATTTGGATGAGAATACTTCTTATATTGTCCTCGATAGCGCGTCTGACATATTTATATTGCTGGTAATTTTTCGAGCCGCTCGATTGCGTACGTAAATGATCTTTTTCTATAAAAACATCGTGTGCGGGGCAGTGGTCGGAGGCGCCCTGCAGCACACACGTGGAGTCGATCCCAGTGCTCATAGCTCACCAAGCCTTCCAACCCTCCGGAGTCGGCAAATTGGTACCAGACTTGTCTGGGAGGGTAATAGGGGATCGATACATCGGTAGCCCACCGCGAGTCATTGTAAAAGCCAGATATGTATTCAATCACCTCCAAATGATCCTTAATGAAGTGGAATGCATGGCGCATCTTTCAGGGACTGATCAACGTCGAGAGCTTTATCCTTTTTTTACATTACAGCTTGCATATTCTCGCCATTATAAAGAAGGATTTTTAGAAATTCTCGAGTGGAATCGACACTCATATTTGCACCTAATCGACATGGTTCCCTTCATGGTTGTATAGAACGCTGTATCATTAGCAAAAGCGAATAAATATTTTCTGCACTCATCCTGTACTACCATAATAAGATCTACTAGAAGACACCGGATTGATTGTCCTAATTTCTCATATGATTATGGACGCACAAAAGCCTCATGGAAGATAGCACCGTGTTCGTTTGAATTGTTTGCATAAGTACTTTCCTTGTCTCATGAAAACAAGAGGTGCTTGAGTAAGCGTCGAACTTAGGGTTTTTCAGCAGCAGTAGTGCTTCGTGGCTTTGAGTTGCACCACTGCCCAATCTCTACAGATTGGTAGTCCTTCACCAACAATACGTACGACTTTTACACAAGTTAATTTAGCACCATTTAGCGATCTAAGTGATTTCTGCATTTAAGACCAAAATATTGTTCAAAAGGCAAAAATGTTTCTAAAAACCATCTCTACGTCTGAGTGGATTCCATTTGAAATTGATCAGAACATATTTTTCCGCGATTTCTACCATTGATGTCATTTATGTGGTCGAAGAGCCTTACTGAATCAGGTTTTATGTTCATAGATATCTTTGTACAGAATTTTCCCACAAACTTTTTACAGATTTTAGATTTTATACTAATAGATGCTTTTCTTTTCCCCGCTTGACTATTTCGGGACATCCGAGAAGGAAAAAGTTTCGCTCAACTAACGACCTACTGCGCATTTGAAAGTTGTGCCGAACTCGCATGTTTCTTATTGAATGAGCCAATTATATATAATTATTATGTTTAACGTTTTGTTTTCTGCCTTCTATAATTTTCATGGCAGGTTACTAAGCGAAATACAACCACAACGTTGCTGAGATATTTGCAAAACTCTGGACCGCAGGTGTCTAGGTGGGGAACGATTTGCGCTCCCCAGATCAACCCCGCTGACGGGTGATTGCTGTGGCAAAAAGATCGATAGAAATAGCTGAGAGACGTGCGAAACAAAGGACCCGCATGGTGTGGTGGTGAACGCGTTACTCCCCGGAAAGGATAATAGCGCGTTCGTTCCCCACCATAGACACCTGCGGTCCAGAGTTTTGCAAATATCTCAGCAACGTTGTGGTTATAATTATTATATTATATATAATTATATGAGCCAATTAAAAGACGGATTTTCCTTATATTTTACTTGGTCCGCATTCACGTCTACTGTGCCGATTCCAGCACTTCTCATATTCGACTCGCATCCTCGCACCCACGAATATCTTCCAACTTTTATTTGTGGTTTCGGTGCTGCCTGAGGATTTTCATTTCTTCTTGAATGCCGTAGAATGCTGGTCGAACAATTTCCGCTGGAGTCCTGAGCTTGAATAAGTCCGGTACCAGTTGTCTGAACCAGGAGGGACGATAGGCTTGGTTGGCCCGAAGCGGAATGGAACTGGCACAGTGCTCAGGATGACCGACATCACTACCACTATGCTATCCACCCTCGAAAAATAATCAAATAAATTGTTTATATATATACACTTGTATATAT